ATATATATATATATATAATATATAATATATATATATATATATATATAATGGAATATATATATATATATACACTACATTTTCTTTATTCATCTAGTGATGTGCACTTAGGATGCTTCTATATCTTGGCAATTATAAATACTGTTGTTGTAAATAGTGGGGTGTATGTACCTTTTGAATTAATGCTTTTGTTTTTCTTGGATATATGCCCAGGAGTGGAATTGCTGGGACATATGGTGGTTCAGTTTTTAGCTTTTTCAGACTCTCCATGTTGTTCTCCACAGTGGCTGCACCAACTTGCATTCTCACCAACAGTGCACATGGGTTCCCTGTTCTCCACATCCTTCCAGCGTTTGTTATTTGTGTTCTTTTTGATGATGGCCATTCTGACAGTTGTGAGATGATGTCTCATTGTGCTTTTCATTTGCATTTTCCTGACGTTAGTGATGTTGAGCAACTTTTCAAGTTTCTGTTGGCCATCTGCATTTCCTCTTTTGGAAAAAAAGTCTGTTCAGTTCTTTTGCCCATATATTTAAATGGGTTGGTTGGTTGTTTGCTTGATTTTTAATTGAAGTACAGTTAATTTAAAATGTTGTATTACTTTCTGGTATACAACATGGATGGACTTGGAGGGCATTATGTAAAGTGAAGTAAGTCAGAGAAAGACAGATACCGTAAGATATCACTTACATATGGAATCTAAAAAAATACAGCAAGCTAGTCACTCTAACACAAAAGAAACAGACTCACAGATGTAGAGAAGGAACTAGTGGTGACCAGTGGTGACAGGGGAGGAGGAAGAACAAGATGCAAGTGGAGGATTAAGAGGTACAAACTATCAGGAATAAAATAAGCTACAAGGGTGTAATGTGCAGCTTGGGGAGTAATAACTATAAATGGAGTATAACCTTTAAAAATTGTGAATCACTATATTGTGTACCTGTAACATAATGTTGTACATCAACTATACTTCAATTTTTAAAAATATGATATTGTAAAATAAATACATAAATAAAAAAGAAAACAAATGACACAGTCAAGACTATAAAAAAGAAAGACACCTGCACCCCAGTGTTCCCAGCAGCACTACAGACAACGGCCAAGACATGGAAACAACCTAAATGTGTGTTCACAGATGACTGGAATATTACTCAGCCATGAAAAGAATGAAATAATGCCATCTACAGCAACATGGATGGACCTAGAGATTATCATACTAAGTGAAGTAAGTCAGAAAGAGAAAGATAAATATTGTATGATATCACTTATATGTGGAATCTAAAATATGATAAAAATGAATGTATTTACAAAGCAGAAATAGACTCACAGACATAGAAAACAAACTTACGGTTACCCACATGAAAAGGAGGGAGGGATTAACAGATACAAACTGCTATATATAAAACAGATAAACAAGGACCTACTCTATAGCACAGGGAACTGTGTTCAGTTTCATGTAATAAAATATAATGGAAAGGAATCTGAAAAGAAAAAACATATTTGCAAATAAATATAAAAATAATTATTATATGCGTTACATCTCTCTGGTAAATGAGAAAAAGTCTTCCTTGCCATAAATCACGTTACCATGAAAACACGACAATTAAAAAACCCACAATAAAATCAGAATGATGCTATTATGTCCCAGCATGGCTGGCCCTGTGGAAAAGAGAAGTGAGCAAGAGGTGAGCATTAGAGCCTCAGCGCTACACTGAGATTTCCTCCCAACAATACCCGGGAGGGGACGAGAAAGGGAGGAGAGGACCAGCTTCTCAGTGTGCCCACCGACGCTATCTGATGTCATGTCTGTGAGCCCTCCAAAATCACCCCTTCACCCTTGGGGGACTGTGGTCTGGGCCTTAGAATAAACAGGCGTGGCTGTGAAGGCACCAGGAGCCTTTCCGCCAAGACGTGCTGCCACCTTGACCCCCATCAGCACCTTGTCAGACCTGCAGCGACACAGCGGGAAGAGCTGCTTTCCACACCAGGTGGTCTACGCCTCACCACACTTGGTCCACAGGGCTGTACAGCTGTATGTGTGCCCCACACAGCAGGTTTCGGGGATCCCTGTTACGTGCCTGTCCCACAAGTCTCCGACAAGAGTCTGTGGGTGTGTGTCCCATACACTATGATGCATCAATACCCCCCTTCTCTCTGAGGTCCCTGGTGTGTTTTACATACATTGGTTGTATGTGTTTCGAGTCCATCCCACACCTACTATTCTGTGGATGTGGTGTGTGCCTGTGTGTGACCGGCTGTGTTGACGGTGTCGGCATCCCACATCCATTGCGCGTGATCCGAGTGCATGTCGTACACTGCAGGGATGTGCTGAGAAGTGCCAGTAACACACGCCTGTCACACAGCCCCCCCAGAATGTGTGTATCTCCAGGTGGCGCCACAGTGCCCTCACCACACATCTGATACATAAACGTGCCACTGTCACACACCTGCCTGCTGGGACCAGGCCGCAACCACTCGTCAGTATCCACTGCACAGGAAATCTGGCAGAAGACTCAGCACGTTAACAGTAAGAGGGGTGCAGTAAGCCAGATCTACAAGCAAACTGTAATGAACACACGGCTCACGACTTCAACTGGTAAATAAGAACAAAAAAGAGGTTAGTGGTGCCAACAGGTTAAGACTTACAAGATACACATTTTGTATTCTGATTGCAATGATAGGTATACCTTAGACATACCATTGCAGCCTTGGTTCCAGACCACCGCAATAAAGCAAATAATGCAATAAAGTGAGTCACACAAACTTTTTTGGTTCCCCAGTGTACATGTTGTTTACACTATACTGTAGTTTATTACGCATATGACACATATCTTTTTTTAAAACCCTCATTAAAAAATACAAGCAGCTAAAAAATATTAACCATCATCTGCGCCTTCAGCAAGCTGTAATCTTTTTGCTGGTGGTGGGTCTTGCCTGGATGTTGATGGCTGCTGGCTGATCAGTGTGGTGTTTGCTGAAGGCTGGAGTGGCTGGGGCAACTTAAGACAACAGTGAAGTTTGCCTCATTCATTGACTCTTCTTTTCAGAAATGATTTTGCTGTAGCGTGCAATGCTGCTTAACAGCACTTTATGCACAGGAGAACTGCCTTCAAAATTGGAGTCAATCCTCTCAAATCCTGTTGTTGCGCTGTCAACTAAGTTTAGGTAACATTCTAAATCTCTTGTCATTTCAGCAATCTTCATGGCATCTTCACCAGAAGATTCCACCTCAAGAAACCACTTTCCTTGCTCATCCATAAGAAGCAACTCCTTACCCATGAAAATGTTATCACGAGATTGCAGGAATTCAGTCATCTTTGGGCTCCCCTTCTAATTCTCTTGCTATTTCTACTACATCTGCAATTACTTCTTCCACTGAGATCTTGAACCCCTCAAAGTCATCCATCAGGGTTGGAATCAACTTTTTCCAAAGTGCTGTTAGTGTTGACATTTTGACCTCCCCCCATGAATCACAATGTTCTCAATGGCACCTAGAATGCTGAGTTCTTTCCAGAAGGTTTGCAGTTGACTTTGCTGAGATCCAGCAGAGGAATCACTATCTATGGAAGCTTTAGCTTTACAAAATGTATTTCTTAAATGTTAAGACTTGAAAGTCAAAATGCTACTTGATCCACAGGCAGCAGAAAAAATCCTGTGTGAACAGGCATAAGAACATTAATTTCATTGGATATTTCATTCAGAGTTCTCGGGTAAACAACTGCATTGTCAACATTTTGAAAGAAATCTTTTTCTCTGAAGCAGTAGGTCTCAACAGTGGGCTTGAAATATTCAGTAAACCATGTTGTAACCAGCTGTGCTGTCATCCGGGCGTTGGTGGTCCATTTCTAGGGCACAGCAGAGGAGATTTACAATAGCTCTTAGGGCCCTAGGATTTTCAGAGGGTAAATGAACACTGGCTCCAACTGAAAGTCACCAGCTGCATCAGCCCCTCAGTCAGCCTGTCCTTCAAAGTTTTGAAGTCAGGTGTTGACGTCTCCTCTTTAGGCATGAAAGTCCTAGATGGCATCTTCTTTCAACAGAAGGCTGTTTCATCTACACTGAAAATCTCTTGTTCAGTGCAGCACCTTCACGGGGCGTCTTGGCTGGATCTCCTGGAGAACTTCCTGCAGCTTCTGCATCAGCACTTGCGGCTTCACCTGCACTTCCATGTCATGGAAACCACCTCCTTCCTTACACGGCACGAACGAACCTCTGCCGGCTTCAAGTTTTCCTTCTGTAGCTTCCTCACCTCTCTCAGCCTTCACAGAATCGAAGAGAGTCAGGACCTTACTCTGGATTCAGCTTTGGCTTAAGGGGCTGCTGTGGCAGGCTGGATCTTCTATCCAGACCACTGCAGCTTTCTCCAAATCAGCACTAAGGCTGTTTCACTATCTTATCATTCATGTGTTCACTGCAGTAGCATTTTAAATTTCCTTCAAGAACTTTTTCTTTGCATTCTTGACTTGGCTGCTTGGCACAAGAGGCCTAGCTTTTGGCCTGTCTTGGCTTCTGACATGCCTTCCTCATTAAGCTTAATCATATCTAGCTTTTGATTTAAAGTGAGAGACATGCTATGGCTCTTCCTGTCACTTAAACACTGGAGGTTACTGTAGGCTTATTAATTGATCTAATTTCAATACTTTTGTGTCTCAGGGAAGAGAGGCCCGAGGAGAGGGAGAAAGACAGGGTAACAGCCAGTCAGTGGAGCAGTCAGAACACACACATTTCTCGATAAAGTTCACCACCTTTTATGGGTGCGGTTCGTGGCACTCCAAAACAACTGCAACAGTGACATCAAAGATCGCTGACCACGGATCACCATCACAAATATTATAATGAAAAAGTCTGAAACACTGTGAGGATTACCAAAATGTGAGAGACACAAAGTGAGCAAATCCTGTTGGAAAAATGGTGCCGAGAAACTTGCTCAATGCAGGGTTCCCACAAACCTTCAATTTATAACAAAAAAACACAGTATCTGTGAAGCACAGTAAAACAAGGTATGTCTGTAGTCTGTCTTCAAGAACAAACACACTTTTGAGAAAACTCACAAAATTCAGCATGGATAAAATATTTATCACATTTTAAAATATTTTTATTTTCTGTGAAAAAGTTATTGTCACTATCAAAAAACTCTTGCATTTTAGAAAAACATTTTCAAGAAGCTATGCATTAAACAACATGACATCTGAGTTTATAAGTAACACAACCCACTAATGTGCATGAGAGATGAAACAAGAACAATTATAAATAATGATGGAAGATGGGGGACCCAGAAGATAGTCTTTTCCACTTTTGTATATATTTGAAAATAGCCATTACAAATGGTAGAATATATCCTATATCAGAAATCTTGTATGTCGAAAGGATGAATTTAACATTGAGTAGGGGAGGGTACAGCTTAGTTGTAGAGTGTGTGCCTAGCATGCACAAGGTCCTGGGTTCAATCCCCAGTACCTCCAATAAGTAAACAAACCAACCTAATTATTCTCCCCACAAAATTTAAAAGGGTGCAAGGAATAACCAATCAAAAAAAATTAAAATGGCACAAGGAAACGTTTATGCATCAAAACATCAAAATTTCTGATGTTTGAAATATGTACATAAAGTCAGTTATATTTCAGTTAAACTCTTCTAAGTCACAAACACTCAAACATCGTCACTCTCTATTCATTCCTCTCTGTTTCACAATCTGTTCTCAGGAGTGTGGCTGCTCTCTCCGCGTGAGGGAAACACAGTGATGTGCTACTGCCGCTCTTCCCAGCTCTGCGCACTGACACGTTGGGAGTCTGAAATGGGTCATGGTAGAGTACTGACACCAAAGAAACTGCCAAACATCACAAACCAGGGCTTGATTTACACTATTGTTAAATGCAATGTATCAGATGTCCACACTTAGAAACGTGATGGAGAATGTTAATAATGTGTTTGGTATATGTGTCCATTACACTGTGCACGCCACCAAAAATAAAGAGGAAAAAATGACGGATATTCTTCCAGTATACAAAAACAATTATTCCATGCAGCAAAGAAGTCACTCACACCATTGAAGAATAAGTAAAATTCCAACATGTCTTTCTTGTTTCTTACTGTAACTAAAAGGCAAACAGCCAAACTCACAAAATACAAAACAGGCCAAATACAAGAAGTATCCTACTAAAGAAGTTATGTGAGCAGCAAACACATGACATAATGCTCAGCAAATCCTTAGGGAAACGCAGTTAAAACCATAAATGACCAACACACACTTATTTTGAAAGGGTAAAATTCAAAAGTGACCTTATGGGGGGTGGGAGGTGTAGCTCAGTGGTAATGTTATGTGCTTAGTGTGCATGAAATCCTGAGTTTGATCTCAAGTACCTCCATTAAAAATAAATAAAATAAGATAAACAAACAAACCTAACACCTTTTGCCCTGCAAAAAAAGTGACCTTAGCAGATATTAACAAGGGTGTGAAGGAACTAGAATTCTCACACTCTGCTGGTGGGAATGCAAAAAACAAACAAACAAGAAACACAACCATTTTAGATCAGTTTGGTAACTTCCTAAAAAGTTAAATATCCACCCACAGACTCAGGCACTGTATTCTGAGTTATCGATAGAAAAAAAATGAACCATATTCATGTAAGTAATTGAAAACTAATGTTCATATCAGCTTGGAAATACACTCCTTACCATGATGATGGTATCACGAGTATATACATGTGAAATCTTATCAAATCGTACACTTGAAGTGTATACAACTTATTCTACGCCCACTGTAACTTAATGCAGGTTTAAAACATGGTTCATTATAAAAATCTAAATCCCACTTTTCAGAAAATCATTCCGTATTGACTCCACTATCTCACTCCTTGTGCTTTGAGGTACAGTCTCTCCTCGGTGGCAGGAAATACTGGCAAATAATGAAGGCCATTTCCAGCTGAGTCAAGAAGACTGCTCGCTAAACCAGTTACCTCTCCATCCTTCTGCTGCCTGCATAGCAGTGGCCTTGAGGTGAACGGCTCTGAAAGGCTGCAGGGATCCACACAACCCTTACTTTGTCTGCCGATGACTTCACAAGATAAGCACACCTGGAGGTCCTGACACCTCCGTACACACTTACCCTGCAGTCACTGTCAGCAGGACGTGCGTGCCTATTATCGTTAGAAGAGGTACATTCCACGTCTTTTGCTGCAGCCTCCTCCACTATTAACCAGTGTTTATGCCCCACTGTGGTCTCCCCTGCCCCTGAAGTCTTCCAACTACGGGCACTAGCCCACTGAATTGTGGGTATCAGGGTCTATGGCTCCTTTGGAGAAACTGGGGTTACGATTCCCCTCAGTAATGCTGGGCGTTGTGTGTTGTCCTCTGTGAGAAAACAAAAACAACCACACTGTCTTCAGAAGCACTGTCACAGCCGCCCCTTCCTCAGGATGCCTCTGAACCACAGACCTCTGGTATCCAGGCAATCACGACTACAAGCAGTCCTTCCTAGCAGGCCTTGCCAGCAAAGCAAACTCGGCCAAAATGAGAGTGCCATGATCCGCCATCACACTGCCCCTGGAGGCACCCGAACTTTGGCTCCCCAAAAGTGAAGCTTACTCCTCAAGTTAACAGTCCTATTGTGCTTTCAAGCCACTCCACACAATGAACAGAATTTCTAACACTTAGGTGCTTAAACAGAAAGGCCTTTATTATTGCACAAGCCAGAGAAATGTGCAGCAGGCTACTTGGAAGCTGGAAAACCATCACAAGTGCCACCTGAGACCTCGTCCCTGAGATAGCAAGTCCTGCTCTGCAAGCAGAACTCAGATTGCATTCTCTGGGCCAACACAGGGTCAGGTCCACACGCTAACTTCTCAGAGAGAAGGGAGTGAAGACCCCTAAGGGCTCAGGATACTCATATTCCAACAGATGGGAGAGCACAGACCAGCTGCACTGAGCGACGAGGGTGGTGACGGACGCCAACTGTGTGATCCTGCCAGACGCTAGAGAAGTGGCTTCTGCCACAGGAACCAGCAGTGATCTACCTGGCAAGGACCCTGGGCAGGTTATACATGCTTCCCACAGCACTCAAGTTTATGGCGAATCCATCTCCAGCCTGTGGATATCCGGACACAAGATTCAATTCAGGGAGATGGCTCCTCACAGAGGCTTTCCTCCGACACTCACACTAAATGAGGGAGGAGCACACTGCCTGCACATACAAGGCCTCCCTCCAGTGTGAACGCTGTGGTGCTGACCGACATCAGATCTGCAGCCGAAGGGTTTCCCACGTTCACTGCATGTGAGCTCTCCTGTGCCGAAGGAGGCCAGAGCTCTGAGTGAAGGATTTCCCACATTCATTGCACTCGTAAGGCCTTGCCCCAGTGTGCACTGTCTCATGTCGAATGAGGTGGGTTTTGCGGCTAAAGGATTTCCCACATTCACTGCACTCATAAGGCCTCTCTCCAGTGTGAACTCTATGGTGTTGGATAAGGACAGATTTCTGGCTAAAGGACTTCCCACATTCCCTGCATCTGTAAGGCCTTTCTCCAGTGTGAACTCTTTGGTGTTGAATAAGGACGGATTTCTCGCTAAAAGATTTTCCACATTCAATGCAATCATAAGGCCTTACTCCAGTGTGAACTCTCCAGTGTCGAATGAGGTGGGTTGTACAGCCAAATGATTTCCCACATTTAGTGCACTCATAAGGCCTTGCTCTAGTGTGAGCTCTCTTGTGTCGAAGGAGGCCGGAACTTTGGCTAAACGATTTCTCACATGCACTGCATTTATAAGGCCTTTCATTAGTGTGAACTCTTTGGTGTTTCTTGAGGATGGATTTCTGGATAAAGGATTTCCCACATTCACGGCATTCATAAGGTCTTTCTCCAGTGTGAACTCTCTGGTGTTGAATGAGGTCAGATTTCTGGCTAAAAGATCTCCCACATTCACTGCAATCATAAGGCTTTGCTCCAGTGTGAACTCTCCAGTGTCGAATGAGGTGGGTCCTGCGGCTAAAGAACTTCCTGCATTCGCTACACTCATAAGGCCTTTCTCCAGTGTGAATTTGCTGGTGCTTGACAAACCTGTCTTTGTATTTGCTACGTTCCAGACCTTCTCCAGGGCAGACTCTCTGGTGGTGAAGTGTGTCAGTGTTGCCAAAAACTTTCTGGCACTCAACCAACTTCTTACGGCTTTTTCCACTGTGAAAGCGCTCCCCACACTCAATGCTGCCGTGTGGCTTCTCACCGCTGAGAGTGGCCTGGTGCTGAGGGTGGCCCAAGGTAGCTAGAAAGTCCTTTCCATCCTCCCCACAGGGGAAGGGCTTCCCTGACACATGGAATGTGAGGCTTGTCACAAATGAGGCCTTGTCCATGTCCACTTCAAAGATTTTCTCTCTGCTGTCATGCTCTTGGTACTGCTGAAGATTTGTATTCAACCAGAAGCCTCTGGAGCCCCCATCAAAGTACGATTTCTGCCCTGGATATGCTGCCTGGAGCTCAGTCAGCTGCAAAATGTCTTTCAAGGCTGGGACACACTTCTCACAGGGGCAAGTCTTCAGGTTTAAAGGCACCGGCTTAGAAATCCTGATCTGTGACTCACTTATAGAAACACTCTGCTCAGACAGTACCACCTCATCCTCTGCTCCACGCCAACAATCTGAAAGCAGAGGAATGTTAATAAAGTGCCTGTTAACCTTAGTGGGAGAAGGAAGTCCCACAAAAATGTGTGTCATACACGTACATTCAGACCAAAGAATGAATCAATGGGAATATTTTCAGGACGTGGCGGTAATCTGAAGGGAGGGCTGCTCTGTGGTACTGGGCCTCTGAAAATCACAGAATGCGGTAACTTTCCAGGACAAAGGACACAAATATGGGGTGCCACATGGGGAGGACTGGCAGGATCAATGACTCACTCCTCTCCCAGGAGTCTGCAGCAAGATCTTGTCAGCCACTAACATTATGCAGAGGATGGCTGTGTCTGGGCCCAGGGGAAAACAAGTGGAAGTGACTAGCTGGTGTTCAAGGACTATTTAAGAACACATGCACACCTCTCAGCACTTTACTGGCATACATCGTTCCATGCAGCTTTACTGCACTTTGCAAACACTAAGCTTTTTACAAATGGAAGGTTTGTGGCAACTCTATGCTCAGCAAGCCTATCAGTGCCACTTCTCTAACAGCATTTGCTCATTTTATGTCTCTGTGTCACATTCTGGTAAATCTCACCATCTCTGAAAACTTTTTGTTATATTTTTCAATGTATTTTCATTTATTATATTTGTTATGGAGATCTGTGAACAGTGCTCTTTGACATTACTACTACGACTAGTAAAGCTGAGATAATGGTTAGGATTTTTTGCAAAAAATACTTAAAAAAATTTTTTTGTTAGGCTTATTACTATTATCATCATCATCATCATCACTATTTAATGGAGGTACTGGGGATAGAACCCATGATCTCATGCATGCTAAGCATGTGCTCTACTTCTGAGCAATACCCTCCCCCCTGCAAAAAATTATTTTTTAATCAAGGTAGCTATATTGTTTTTCAGGCATAAGTCTACTGTACACTTAATACACTGCAGTACAGTATAAACATAATTTATATGCAGTGGGAAATCAAAACATTCGTATGACTCACTTTATTCCAGTATTAGCTTTACTGCAACTGTCTGGAACTGAACCTGCAACATCTCCCAGTCATATCTGCAGGTGTTAGGTCGCTGCAGGAGAACTGCACGTGGTGCAGTGGAGAGGGACCCGACACATGCAGAAGACACAAGTCACAATTGAAATGACAAATCAGAGAGGTGTCAAGTATGTAGAACAAAGTGTAAAAATCATTTGCGTCCAGTGGCACTTGCATTAGAACACTGGTGGACAGACATAGGACAGTTACTTGGTATGAGTTAAACACAGCCTCAGCGGCCTTTTTGCTCCCTCCTCTTCAGAGGTGGCCCGCACTGTGTCTATGGAGTGTCTACCTACTTTTACTGTAATCTGAGCACCCAACTCCCACACCTCCTGGCCTTTCTTTGCCTTTTGAAACAGCCTCCACTCTATGCACTATGTATCTCTCTAAAAAAAATCTACCTTTACTCAAAATAATAAATAAAATGAACACAGCCTCACTTTCATGCCCTCCCCCAGGTGCACTCACCAGGGCCAGCCCTCCTCGGAGACCATCTTGCCATGTTCACCCTGTAAAGCAATCCGGGCTCTCCCCACACCCTCCACTGTACAACTACATGAGACCCGAATAAAATGTCTTAGACGTGTGAGTGCTCATCACTGGCCCAGAGCAACTCAGAAAACGACAGACTGCAGGAAAGGAAAGGGTATTACAACAAAATCTCTCAACAGGGTCTTTCAAGAAAAGCCTACATAGAAGCAGTGATCATGACAATGCCTGCAACTCCTGATACAGGCAGTCACAAGGAAGACTTAAAAGGTCTCATCACAAGGAAAAGCAGAGTGTGGGACTCTGTGTGGTGCTGGATGCTAACTAGACACAGTTAACTACCTGTGGTGAGCATTTTGCAATATACACAAAGACCAAGCCATTACGTTATACACCTGAAACTAACAGGACATCATATATCAATTATATCTCAATTTAAAAAAGAAAAAGAAGGGGCAGACTCTGGGGCACAAGGTGCCATAGATCTGGATACAGTCATCCTGCCAAAGAGAGGACAAGAAATGTGGGCTCTCCTGGGCTGACTGCTGGACTGACTCCTAGACATTTCCCTGCAGGCCTTGTGCTAGTAGATGGAGAGATGCTTGAGGAGCCCAGTGCTCCGGGCAGCGCACACAGCTCAGCACCACACAACACATGTGCCAGGCAAGTGGGGAAGTTTGCAGAGACCTGGTGGAATGGACAGAGCTGCCTCTCAGACAGGGGCAAAGACAGAGGCCAGTTAAGGACATTGCGAGGAATATGAAGGACTTACCCAGGGACCTTGTAAGTGCAAAGTTCTCCAGCATCACATCCCGGTACAGGAACTTCTGAGCCTCATCAAGGAGCCCCCACTCCGTCTGGGAGAAGTAAATGGCCACGTCTTCAAAAGTCACAGACACCTGCCATGACAGGGACAGTTCATTCCATGGTCAGCTTCTCTCAGAGGACCCCAAATTCACCCACCCACCCGCTCACACCCTGCTTACCCACCTCCCTGTTTCCCCATCTCAGCAGAGGCACCAGGCCCTGATGACACTTATGTGCACACTCTTCTCTTGGTCCCTTTGATTACTATGTCCACCCACACCAACAGGCAGGTGGGCAGACAGACGACATCTACGCTGTGGGCCTGGCATGCAGGGAAGGACTCCCTCTGACCAGGCAATTCTCCTAGGGTGCCCAGGTCACGCTCCCAAATATAACCAAGGGTGTGGGCTCACATTTCACCCTCATGTCCTCCATGCCAGGGCCCTCAGTCCACTGGCTCTCATCCCCTTTCTATGCAAACTTCACTCTTTCTACAATCCCTCTCTCAGTCACCACCTCTTCCCTGCCCTGTAACACAGGCAGCTACCAGTCCTTCCTACGTGTCACTGAACACATGGCATACAGAGAGTGCCTGGCAAATTCAAACAGGATTCAATACTGCCCAGACCTCCAACGGTCCCCACTGCCTGACTCTGTGCCTTGCTTCAGCTTCCGCCACCCAGAACCAGCTGTGGATCTCACATGGCCATGACCCTCCTCCACGTGTGCTACACTTCGTGTGCTCTCATCAGAGACTTCCCCTCTCTTCCTAAGCGTCATTCAAAACCCAATCCCAGAGGCTTTCTACCCCAGGTCCACTGACTCTCCCAGATGACCACTTGTGCCCCTAAACTAATCCACCAAGCTGACTAAAACTCCCCAGACACACAAGGTCACAGCAAATCCTGGTGAGCCCACAGAGCAGTGAATAAGCAGTAGATCTGGCCTGTCATCTTGCCTTAATTTCTCCTGTGCCTCCACTTCCATCTCACATGCACTCAGCCCTCAGAAGCCTGAATCACCTGCCAGGTCATCCTCTCTCCCACACTGTTCCCACGGCCACTTCACCTGTGTTTGTGACGTCTGTCTTCCTTCACCTTGGTGCCAAAGCATGAGGCCCAGCCCCCAGACCTCACTCTCCCTCTCCTGGGCTATTATTAACTTAACCGTGACCAAGATCACCACCTCTCAAAGTGACCCACAGTGTTATGAACTCAATGTACGCATCCTCCCAAAACTCATATGTTGAAGCCCCAACCCTCAATGTGATGGCAGTTGGAGGCAGGGCTTTGGGGAAGTAATCAGGTTTAGATTAGGACATGAGGACGGACCCTTATAAGAGGAAGACAGAAACATCGCTTCCATTCCCCACGTCCTTGCACCAAGAAAACACTACTTGAGGAGACAGAGAGAAGGGAACCACTGCAAGGCAGGAAGAGAGCCCCTCACCAGGAATCCAATCTGCCAACACTTTCATCTTGGACTTCTCAGCTTCCAGAACTGGGAGAAATGAAAGTAGTTTGTTCTAACCATCCAAGCTAAGACACACAGCCCCACCCTGGTCCACATACTATCCACCACCTTCTTCATCCTGAAACTCTCCCGAGAAACCTAGACCTGTTTGTACAACCGCCCTCTTAACACCTCCATTTACTTGTTCTCTGAAACATCTCATACACTTAACATGGCCAAACTCTTAATACCTTGCTTGAAAATTACTCCTACTATCAAATTTCATATCCCAGTTGATGGAGCATCCATCCCTCTGGCTGCTAAACTCCAAAACCTTGCGGCCATCCCTGACTTCTACTTTGTTCTCTCACCTTCAAAATCAAAAAATGAAAGATCCTCTGGGGGGAGAAAAAAAGATCCAGAATCCAACCATGTCTACCACCTCCAAGGCCACCACACTGACCCACATCATCAACGCTACCTGGACTATGGCAGTAGCTTCCTCCCTGGTCTCCTATCACCTTCCTCACACCCCCTAGTCCGTTCTACACGCTGCAGTCACAGGGAGCCTGCTAAGAGCCGGCTCGGATCGCCACCCTCCTGCACTCCAAACGGCCCATTCTTCACATTACCTCCAGGACAGGCACGCAGTTTCTCAGCCATTCCAGGCACGCCTCCTGCCCCCTTGCTCTGTTCCCGAGATAGAAGGCAGACTCGAGATTCCCTTCAACTAGCGCAGTCTCCCCTCCAAGCATGTGCACACTGGGGTACCTGCACCTGGGCCAACCAGTCTGCTGCTCCGAACGCCTTCTGGAAAACTTCTGAAAGCCTCATTCAGGAGGCCTTTTCTGTTCACAACTCTCAGTGGCTCCTGGCCTCCTGAAAACGGCACCTGGCACCCCACGCGCGACTCTACCTCACATTCTCTGTGCCCTGAACACACAAGGCAGACCTCGCGGTTCCCGACCCCCCGCCTCAGCCCGGCCTCCAGGCCTCCGCACCTGAGGGTCCCCCCGCCCGGGGGGCCTCTCCCCGCGCCGTCACGCCGTCCGTCAGAAACACGGCCCCACCCGCGGCCGCCTCCCCGGCCTGGACCCCGGGGCCCGGGCCGCAGGCACGCGAGCAGGCGCCCCGCACTCGGGGCTCTAGCGTCCGGCGGGAGAGGGCGGTGCGGGCCCGGAGGACGCGCGTTTACCTGCGGCGGGTCCCTCAGCGCGGCCGCCGCCATCGGGGTCTGAGGGCGGGAGCGGCGGGGGAGGAGGGGGACGCGGGAGCGGCGACCCCCGGGCGGCGTCTCCTCTCGAACCTTCTCAGTCTCGACTCTCTCCGTAACCTCAGACCCGGTGAACGAACCGAACAACCGCCAAAACGGCCGCCACGACGGGGCGCCGGAAGTCCCGCCCCGACGCGATGCACACGCACGGAAGTGCCCGTATTCTGAGTTCTCATTGGCTCAACGCAAGGCGCCCGGCGCGGAGACCTCTGGGGAATGTAGTTCGCGCAGTTAAACCCCCCTCCCCCGCGCGGGCTCTGCTCAGCGGACGTGAATGGAACGTGGCGCGGTGAGAGCACCTGTGCAAAGATGACACCAGGACCCTGAGAGAAAGGTTCGGGACACCGGCCTTTCTCTTCCAGCCATCTCGGCCCCTGAGGAGGCCTGCTGGGAACAGGACTTCTGAAAGGACAAGTATGTCTGGAAGGAAGGCTGCCGTCCCAGGCCATTTTTGCTGGGTATAAGCCTAGGGTCCAGAACCTGAGGGAGCACAAAGCTCTTCTTAAAAACCAAAGGTGTTTATGCTCGAGGTGAAACTCAGTTCTATCCCGGCAGGAGATGTGCTTATGTGTACAAAGCAAAGAACAACAAAGCAACTCCTGGTGGAAAACCAAACAAAACCATAGTAACCTGGGGAAAGGTAACTCCTGCTCAGAGACAGTGCCATGGTTCTTGACAAATTCCAAAGCAACCTCTTTGCTAAGGACACGGACACGATCTGCGTGATGCTGTACCCCTCGAGGATTTAAACTTACTGAAAAGTAAATAAATAAATGTGTGGGGAAAACAACCAAAAAAAGAAAAAAAAAGAAAAGCTTAAGACGCCAAAATCTCTTTGATGGGAGGTGATTATCATTTGAGGTGTCATGTTTATTCAAGTCTTTAATAAATGTTCAGTGAGCATCTACTGAGGTTCAGGAACTACTGGAGGCACAAGAGAAAAGTCAGAAAACAAAGACAAGCCTGCCTTTGTGAGTCTTAGACTATTTAAGGAACACAGATGGGAAACATGAACAAAGAAATACCAAATTAAAAGTACATTAGAATGAAACAGAAGCGGTGAACATGCCCTCTTAGGACCTGAGGATGCAGCTAAGTCTCGCGAAGTTAGGAGGGCGTCTGGCCATGTTTCTCTCAGGATTCCAGGAGGCCTATGACAGTTACATCGTCCTGCAGTCTCGGGCCAGTCCCAGCACTGTCTAGGCAGTTGTGGCATGAAGGGACTGGCAGCATTCTCTGCCAGAGTCCGGGGTTCATGCTCGTGGCTCAACGTGGGCCGCACCCCCACCCCAGCTTGGAAGATGAGGAAAAGTGGGGATTTTGCCCAGGGTGTGCCCGTGGTAACTGGGGCAAAGCTTAATAGCCTTGAAGTCACTCAAGAGGCAGGTGGTACCCTTGCAATAAACATTAATCTGCTTAAAAAAAGGAAAAAAGAAATAAAGAGAGGGGCAGGTAGCGCTGAGGGAAACTTTCTGCCCACTCATTGTAAATAGAAGACATTTACACCCAAAATCATCCAGGCAATATCGAAATCCAAAAGCTGCTATAGTCCAAGGAGTTCTTTGGAGAGAAGAACCAAGGAGGTGGCCATGATCAGCTGACTCAGAAGTCAGTGGATGGAAGAATGTCATGCAGTGAGTGAAGTGAAGTTATGCAGATGAAGGAATGAGAAATTTGAAAATTGGATCCCAGCCCTACTCTAAATGAGGAAATTAAGACTCAAATTTATATTAGTAAAAACCATTATTTTTAATTTAGAGGGAATGTTGGAGTTTGACTTTATCGCAATCAGAAGACTCTGGAGAATTTGATACAACATTGTAAAATGATTATAAATCAATAAAAAATAGTTAAAAAAAAAAAGAAGAAGACTCTGGAGAATACAATAAAATACCGAGTATCTGTCATTATAGTCAGGAAATTTCTTTGCTCTCCTAAGAATTATTCCAATTTTAAATGAACATTAAAAGCATATATTTTCCTAAGCACAAAACCATTTTTGCAGCTTTCTTGATAATAACCAATATTGAAACCCACTGAACATCAATGAAGATGGATTGGATAAATACACAAGGGTGCATCTTCCTAAGAGATCACAGGGCAGCTGTGGTTGTGAGGAGTAAGTTCTTTCAACTATGCTGACCTAAACTGGCAGTAACTATCAGGATACCATGTGCAGTTAGTTTTATTTTGGCAAAAAAGTGAAGCTAATACGCACTTCTATATATTTATGCATTTATATCTTAATAATGGAAAAATAAAAACTATATAAGTGGGCACCTGTGAGGTGGGAAGAAGGAAGAAGAATGTACTTGTTTTTTGTCTAAGAATTATGTAATTATTGTGCCTGAATAGATATGACAACAAAAGAGTTTAATATATAATCACATAAATGGAAACAAAACTAAAACAAACCCATGTACCAAATTTGGGATTTAAACAAAAAAGAGGAATTATTTCCAATGAAAACTGAAGTCAATATGACTATGTTCTACATTAATAAATAAAAGAATAAACTAAAGATAAAACATTTTATATGAAATGTTGTAAAACATATAAAAATATAATATTTTGAGTAAAATCATGGGTAATTAAAATTTGAAATTACATATATGTTGTTTCTAAAAAGTCTTAAAAGAAATGGTATTGGTAGAAAAAAATAAATTAAAAAAACCCAGACATGGCATATGGGCAGATGTGCAAACAAGAAAAGGCAAGAACTTAGTGGGCTCTTTTTCCTAGTTTTGTTCCTCATTCTGCCTAAGCTTTTATTGTGTCACCAGGTCATCTGATCCAGATTGCTGTCTCTCTCTATTTTTAGTTAAAAACTTTCAGTTAAAACACTATGTGGGGAGTGACATCAGCAAAGTGGTGGATTAGTAAGCTCCAAGCCCTCTTTCCCCAACAGAGATTATTAAAAAAAAAACGAAACAAAACAAAACTATCAAGTGGGAATTCTATACCTGGCAAAACTGTCTTCTAAAAAATGAGGGAGAAGTAAAGCTATTACCATAGGAACAAAAGCAGAAGGGAGCTCGTGACCACGGGACAGGTAGGGATTTTTATCTGTTTTGCGCCACCACTGCGCCCTCGGTGTTTGGCACATACCTGCATTTGATGGCAATTCATGACACATATGTCAGGTTTAAGTGAATGCTCTGGGTGGAAAGGGTGGGGGCTTAACGGAGGCAGCAGCAGTGAAGAGAGGAGAACCAGGATGAATCGCAGGAGAGTATAGGGCGTAGAAGCCTCGAGACTGCTTCAGCGCTCTGCTGAGACGGTGGCCCTGTAACACCCTTTAAACTTCAACAGAAAAAAATCTTAAATGACTAGTAGAATAGTAATACCAAAAAATTATCTTAGGGGGCAGGGTATATAGCTCAGTGGTAGAGTGTGTGCGGGGGTCCAATCCCCAGTGCCTCTGTTAAGGAAAACAATACATGCCAACAATGACTACAGGGATGCTAAAGGAATCCTCTACCTGTGAGTTAAACACACTCTTTCCTGCTGTTCACTTCATGCACGGTGAAGGCTTTAGAGTGGATGTTGTGAGGATGAGTTTGGTCAGAAATGAAAGAGGAATCCAGCCTGTCAGAAAGAACGTGGAGAAGAAAATGAGGCAGACCTAAAGCAAGTAGACACGGATCACATGAGTCTTGGAAAACCGTCTTTCAGCTTCTCTTTGCCAGTATTTATGTCCCAACCCAAGCAAGCAGAGCTGACTTTCAGGACAGGGCTACTTTCTGATTTTCATAATCTGGTCTGTTGTTTCCTATCATCTGACACTTCTCTGGAAATAGTGGTTACTTATCAAATTGTCATTTCCTGCCAGGAGGGCAGCTGTCATGTTGGCATCCATGCATGTGTGCAAAATGAATATCTGAGCTCTGAGCTGAAAGTTTCTGTGACCAGGATCTCATCTCTTTCTGGGAACTGATTACTCATTTTACTTCTAACTGTGACCACATCCACATGAGGAGTTGAGATGGTCTCTGCAAAACACTTGGGAAATGTGCAAAGCCAGAATTCTTTTAATAGTAATGTTAGCCATGGAAAGTGGCAGAACTCCATGGGGAAAACATATATTCAGTTACTTAGATAATTTGACTATTAATAGCAGATGAGCAACTAAGTTCTGTGAAATTCGGTGATGCAGCGAACAGGCTGCCCTCTGGGTTTCCGGCTATCCTGAGGGTTTGTTTTCCAAATGTGATATTTTAAAATTCCCGTGGACACTTAAAAATACCAGATTCTGGGAACTTGTAGAGGAAGAGGATAATAAGATAGCATTTCCAGGGCATAAAGATGAAGAGGGAGACAGTGATGGCACATCTTTTTGGTCATTTCGGTGAACATTTATTGAGGTGTGTGGTGCGCTGGTCCTTTTATCAGGTGTGCGTAATGTGCCAGGAATCAAATGAGGCAACAAACCCTATCTCATGTTGCTTATAATCACATGAAGGATATTAACCAGGATAATAAAAATAAATGTAAACAATATAGTATGTTATAAGGGAGTAGGTGTTTGTAATAGAAAACAGAAAGGAGGGGATAATAGCTCAGTGGCAGAGCACGTGCTTCGCATGCGTGAGGTCCTGGGTTCTGTCCCCAGTGCCTCCATTAAAAAATAGAGAGAGAGAGAGATGACCAAGATGTGGGACACGTGGGACAGTGCACACTGGTTGTGATATTAAAGGGGTTTGTTCGTTACACCTCAGCAAAGGCAGGGGAACAGGGTTACACTGAAAACTCCACTTAGAAGAGGAAACTTAGGGAAACACTTGAGGGATGTGTGGTGAGCCTTGTGCTCCAAAGACAGGAAACAACTAGAGCTGAGGCCCGGGGCCAGTGCTCACCTTTCACGTCCCAGTGGGAGTCAGGAAACAACTGCAGCTGAGAGCCTCTGAGTGAGGCAGAGCGTGGCGACCTGATGGACAGGTCACGAACTTGCCCAGGGTCACAGGGCTCATCAGTAGCAGGGCTGGGATGTGACCCATGTGGGGCGGCTCCAGGTGTGCACAGGGTGCTACGCCAGCAGGAAACAGCTCATGGCAGCTGTGTGGGGCCAACAGCCGTGGAGGGAGGGAGGGAGACACGAGGGAAGAGGGTGTGGGGGAGGGAGGGCG